TAGATAGATAGATAGATAGATAGATAGATAGATAGATAGATAGATAGATATTCATGCTAGAATGAATAACATTTTTAAATTTGAATTTCCATTTCAGTTTGCAATAGTCTTATTCAATATTATATTGCCACATATTCCTTCTAAAGTATACTGAATAAGAATTGGGTATGTTAATTATCATGAGAAAAGTACAGTGTATTAATAGTTCTCAACCTTTTCTTCGCCACAAACCCCTTTTAAATACTTGTGGCCACGGAACTCCAAGACTTAGCTCAAAATTTCAATCCTCACATTTTTTCGAGCCTTTGTGATGACATCGTGGCTGCCCGGGGGTCTACGGACCAGAGGTTGAGTATATGGTTCTTACTGAAAACATGGCAAGATTCCCCCAGTGGATTCTACCACTAAACTGGCTGGGTCAACTAACAAAGGACTCCCAGGCATGCAAAGTTCTTGGATCACCAGAAACGGCTTCTTCTCTCTCAGATTGCTTCCTGTTCAGTCTAGCTCTATGAGGAATTATCCTGAATTTGTCCCATCAATTCCTGTTTCCAGCTGGAGGGATGAATTTTAATTAATAGTTCCTCATGATTATTTTTCTTTTCTCTGATCTATAGCAGAAAACAAGGAAAGAAACATAAAGGGCAACTGCTGACAGTAACCCAATTCAAGCAGGACAGGAAGCAATTAAAAACACCCGCAAAGGGGGAGGGGGGCAGAGGGAAGCCTTGAGGAGGGGAACGTGGCTTTCTAGGAGCTTTTGGCTGGGAGGGGGGGGGATGACAAGCCACAGGTTCTAAAGAGCTACACAGAGCCATCATTGCAGTTTAATTTTTAACTTGCTTTTAAAAAGGTACACCTCTCAGCTATACTAACACAAAAAAGCAAGAAGTCAAAAAGTCATCATTTGCATATAGTGTCAGATTTGAATCTGATTAAACCTTTGCTACAGGTGGTGATGCAATTCAATCAACGTTTATAAATGTCTTAAACCTGCCACTTGCTCTGGTTTGGAAACATACAGAGGTAGACTACCCTGCTTAACAATCGTTCGAAGTTATGACAATGCTGGAAAAACATGATTTTGTGACCAGTTCTTGCACTTATGACAGTCATAGCATCCTGCAATCATCATTTCACCGATCACAACTGGCTTTGGATAAGCAAAATCAAAGGAGAAGCTGCAGTACAATCCCAAGTCAAGGCCCCGTGCTGCCTCACTTAACTATCTATCTGCAGTGACATGCTTTGAATGACCAAGTGGGAAGCGATGTTGTGGTAGTTTTAAGTCTGTTGTTTCGTGTTTAGCGTTGTTGTTGCAGGTCCCCCTTGTGATCGCTAAAAGAATAATAACTGCATGGGCACCTTTCTATATAGTGTCTATTCCTGGTAAAACTCCAGTTGACCAATAGATGGCAACAAAGAGATATAGAAACCTTTGGTTCATTGCTGCAATAGGCCAGATATGGCAGCCTCACTTATGGGGTGGCAGTAGCCCTCGTAATTCCTGCATCAGTAGAGAGCTGTTGGAGATTCTTCTAAGGGCACCCTAGTTCACCTCTATTTTTATCTGGATTTTAAAACGCTTTTCTCATAAAATGTTTAAAATCAGAGATCCTATATTTTCCTTCCATTTTGCTACTCTATATTTCTGCACACTATATGCCTGGCAATCAACTACATGTGCAGCCATAGGAGTAATTCAGTCAATACTGAAATGAAATGTGCAGGTCCTTGTAGCACAAGATCAACCCTTCTACACTTGGTGGAATTCCGGCTCATTTTTAGTGCTCTATTTTCCTTCTTCCTCTACTCACTGGTCCTGCTGGCGTGGTCATTTCCACTCACATCCCCTGTCCGCCTTCCTTCTTCTGTGTCCGATTGGATCTGCTGCTCGTAGGGCCTTTTGCGTTCACCAGTTTTATCTTGGCTGAAGGAAGATCTCCTTTTGCGTCTTTTTTTCTGGTTGCTATGGGGCATTGGTAGCCCAATGTAAATGGAATGGTAATCTGCTAGATTAGACAGACAAGGAATTGGTCTCCAGGGCATAAGCTCTCAGTGAACATACAAACAACAAAGTAATGTAATTGTGAGCTATCAACAGGAGAAGTTGAGTTGACGCAGGAAGAACATTCTTGGTTGTGCCTTTTTAATGATGGTTCTAATGTTAGGTGTCCATTTCAAATCCTGAGAGATAATAGAACCCAGAAATGTGAACATCTCTACTGTTGATACTGTGTTGCCTAATATTGTAAGAGATGATAGAATAGGGGGGCTCCTCCTAAAATCTCATATCATCTCTGCAGTTTTTTAAAGTGTGTTCAGTTCTAGATTGCTCCGGACGCACCACAGAGTGAGCTGTTCAGCCTCCTGTCTGTATGCACACTCATCACTATGTCGAATGAGACCAAACTTCTGCAAACTTCAGTACTTTAACAGAGGGAGGGAGGCGGATGGACAGGTGTGTGAAAGTCAAGTCAATGGGGGCGTGGCATAATGTAACAACCTGCACCTCTCGGCCCTTAGAGTTTAAGGGAGTTGGCCTGTATCTATGTGCCATCTGATAGTCCCCATTTATGAAAGGTGCTCTGCAGCTACATTCTTGGCCATGACCAGTGATGGTTACCCCTTCTTGGTTCCTGATGCTGCTTTCAAAGAGGCTTCTTGAGGAGAAGTTAAGCATATAGAATAAATCCTGCAGCACTGACATACAGTAGCTGCCCCTTGAAAGGAGCACATGGGGACAAATGGGTGAAAGGTAGACTTTTTCTAACTAAATGCTCTTAAGTGTTCAGCAGAGTCTGCAAACAATTTGGGACCATGTCCTGGACAAGGAAGGGAAGAATTTTCCCAGCAATAGATGTGATTTACATGTAACTAAAACAACTAAAACATACTTTACTCAGGGAAGTACATAAGGGAAATGGGGGACGTATTCCATGCCCAAGGGATGCCAGACACCAGAACTGGAAAAATCACTGGGCCGCAGTAGAAGGAGGGAGCCTGAATCCAGGAAATTCATCCTTACCCTCTTCATCATCGTATTGCATTCTGAAGGTGCTAAGGCATCTCTCGCCCATGGTGTCATTCTCGTACATCATGGCCAACCAGTAAATGCTATCGTAGATTTAAAGGTAAAGATTAAATAATAATGAAATTCTAATGCATACACACACAGACACACACACACAGACACAGAAATTTTTATAATTTAAAATAGGTGAACATTGCACCTTAAACAATTTATAAAATTGCTGAGTCTAATAAAAGCTTAACAAGCTTAATAAAATATAGATAGCTTTTATGAAAAGTGTATTGCAACCTGGATTGTTCCTTGCTATAATTGACTTACTAACTGTACCACTGTATTCATGCGACTCACTTGTAAGTCAACTGAATTCAGTGTCATCTACCCCTGGGAAACTGTTTAATCTCTTTGAATACAGTGAGGCTCATTTCTGACTGAGTATCTGCTGGATTCTTTGATTATGCGAAAGGGAAAGCTCTGCCTGGCATTTCTGCCCCATCAGGGGATTGATATGCCTGAGTTAAGGCCCGGGGCTAGAAACCCGGAGACAGGGAGTTCTAGTCTCATCTTAAGCACAAACCTGACTGGGTGACGTTGGGCCAGTCCCTCTCTCTCAGCCCTGAGGAGAAGAAGGAGGCCAGGGCAAAGCACCTCCCAAACTTTCCAAGAAAACTGCAGAGGCTCATCCAGGCAGTTGCTGGAAACCAACACTGAATCGAGGGCACACATACACCAAAAAGTATATGGGAACATACAGCCTAAAATGATCTGGTAACCTGTAGCATAACACGACTCGGGCTGTCAAAAAGGCAGAAACGGTTTTATGCCGCTCTCACAGAGACAGGATTCCTTTACCAAAGATGCACATTTTAAGCCAAGGCCCTATTTCCCTGGCGGTCCCTGTACAGGATTTCTTGTTTTTGTTAAATCAGGAATGCATATTAATTTTGGCAGGGGTTTGCTCTCTAAACTTGTTTCAATTTAGTTTCTGAATGTTTCTGAACATTCAACTGACAACACACTGGCACACAAGACATATATAAGCAAAAGAGAGAGCAGACCAGAAAATCCTGCTGATAGGATGGTCTGGTAACAAAACGTTCAGAACTAAATTGAAACAAGCTTGGAGATCAAACCTCTGTCAAAATCTAAAACTTGAACTACAAGTATTTTCTATTATTTCAATGCATGTTAATTTCCCCAATGTCCTTTATGGGCGACTGGGAAAGATGCAGTCACATTTCATGGCAGAAAAATCAATCCCTTCCAAAGTCACTTTGAAGCCAACACTGGTCCCTCCCTCTGGCATCTACAGGCTGTTCTTTACTGCACACTGAGAAAAGCAAGAGAAAATGTTGTCTTATTGCAGTTAGGTCAAAAGCAGTTTTATATTAAAGAATATTAAAAGTGGAATATATATTAAAACTGCCTCAGTGCATCTGGTAAGTTGCTCAACCACGCATTTTTCATAAATTATGCATCATAACTTAAACAAATGGCTTTAAGCACAACTCAATGAACTAAAAAATGCTGCAGTAGAGTTTTGGGATCAAGTATTATAAGCAAACTTTAAAAAGGAAACAAAAAATCAGACTATTTTTTTTACAAATAGTACAGATGAACACCTCCTGGCATCTGTGATAGCTTCCTTTTTTCCAAAGCCTCTTCCTCAGAAGCATTATTTTCCTCAACAGGCCTACAAAGAATTCTGAATACACATTCAGACAATGTACTTACAATTGAACCTTCCCGAGAAATGCTCCAGACTACGTTCAGGGGACTCGTCAGCTTCTGGCCAGCTGCAAGCTTTGGACCCCACTCAGCCCTGGTCAGCTACCAGAGTCAGCAAGAGGCCAATGGAGGCTGGGATAGTATCGACCTACAAATGTTGCAGCAGCAGCTTCTCTGTTGAAACGTGTGTGACATGATGTGCACTAATCCCTTCAGAGCAGCAAGGAACTAGACCATGGGGTGGTTCTCTTGCTCATACATGAGTGTGTTCAGACAAATTCTGACCCATTTAATACCCACAACCAACTTCAAGTGGCCGATTATCCCACAGCTGCTAAAGATACCAAGCAGAACTGGTTTCTAGGTCTTGGATGAGTTAAGATTGTTGGTTGCCGGAATGCAAGTGCCTTTGCCGAGTGTTTTGGTCCTAGTTGAATGGTCTGAATGAGCAAACCTGATGGAACCTGATGGCAAACAGGGGCCTCACCCCACCCCACCCGTCCTCCTCCAGAGTTTTCCCAGTATCATGAGTCTGAAAACATATTGGAGAGATGGTTCCAACTTCGATGGAATCCTTTTTTTTTTAAAGTAATAATGCTAAGTATAGTGTTCTTAGGATAATTCCTTTGCACACACATTTTCGTTATAACCTTTCTCAATATCCTTCCTATAAGTTATGTGTTATAAATCTGCGCCCAAGGCTGAAAGAGAACAAATAGCTTTCCTAGAAAAGTCGCGGTGGAGACGACATTTGAACTGAGGATAAAGCCGTCGAAGCCAACGGATACACCACTAAAAAAAGAAAAAGGTGACAAGTGTGTTGAGGAGATTTTAGGGCAAATCTCCTTAAGCATCCTGGTTTAAAATGGGTTTAGCTATGAGGTCACTTGAGATGATCGTTTCCCAGCAACTTCCAGTGGCTTTTAAGCACCTCTGTGCCTGCTACTCTTTCATGTAATGGAGAAATCTTTTTCCACAATTACTTCAAGGAAGAAGTAAAAAGTCATGAAAGTTTTAGAGGATTTCTGGCCTTTGAAGTGGTCAACCTTCGATATCAGAACATCTCTATGTGTCTGTATATGTGAACCTTTCACCAAGTGTTAGTCAGCGGTTCTTTGAGAACCCAAAGACAATGAACAGAGCAGTGAGGAAGGAGATTTCAAGCTTTATTGAGTACCTTAGCAGGTAAATTAAATACAAGAAAGCATAAGGTAACAAGAATTCAAATTACAGTTGTTGAACAAAATGAAATCATCTTGCCACATACGGAACACAGTGGAAAATACAAAGTCTTCATATCTGTACTTGCCAGAGGAGACCCAGAGCAGAGAATCTCTGTAGCCCAAGGTCGAAACGTGGAGGCCTTGTTGCCCTCTGAGCTCGGTTCTCTGCTTGCAGGCGCTTCATTACCTGAGACCATTGACCATCAGCAGCGTCTGGAGGTTTGCTTCCAATTTACATACAATACAGGTAGTTCTCAACTTACAACCATTCATTTAGTGACCAAAGTTACAATGGCATTGGAAAAAGTGACTTGGCAGCATCCCCATGCATGGCTGGTGAGAGCTTTCTGGCCACCACGCCCTCCCATTCCAAGGCAGTCTTGCTCTGCCTCTGTATTATTCAAACAGATTTTCAGTTTGTGACCACGATGGGGTGATACCACCACACAAAAAAGTCAAGGAAACAATCCGTCCACTAGGGAAGGGAAGGGAAGGGGAGGGAAGGGAAGGGAAGGGAAGGGCAGCAGAGAAAAAGCAGAGCTGCCTAATTCACTCTTTGCATCTGTCTTCACATACAAAGATAGTATATCTCAACCTACCAAAAACACACATGTAAAACACAGGCTAGGAATCCAAATTAAAATAAGCAAGAAAATAGTCAGAGAACACCTGTCCGCCCTAGACGAGTTCAAATCGCCAGGGCCAGGCGCTTTACACCCCAGGGTTCTGGGAGAGCAGGCAGACGGGATCTCGGAACCCCTGAACCGCCTCTTTCCAAGATCCTGGAGCACCGGGGAACCACCAGAGACTGGAAAAGAGCTGAGGGGGCTCCCCTCCTCAAAAAGGGGGAAACCAAACGGATCCTGGGGAACCCCAGAACAACCCGCCTGGCGTCCATTCATTTTCAGTGGAGGCCGTCCTCAGGGCACTTCCATGGGCTCACCCAAGACGAGGCCTTCCTGCAGGAGGAAACGCTTTCCCAAGCGAGGCTATCTGCCCAGCCGGAGGCCTGCAGGTGTTCATTGGCTTCTTCCATTTGGGGGCCTCCAAGGCGTTGCTGTTCTCCTGACCTCTTCCGGGATGGTCTGCCTTGGCCTCTTCTTCCTGGGGTTGAGGAGGAGGAGGAGGGGCTGCCCCATGAGGTACCACCAGCAGTCCTCAACCTACAGCCGTCCATTTAGTGATCGCTTGGAGTTACAACTGCTCTGAAGGACGTGCCCAAGGACCACCTCTCACACTTACGACCATTGCACCATCCCCGTGGAGGTCACATGATCAACACTCAGGCGCTTGGTGCTTGGTTCGTCTCTATGAGGGCCGCAGGGTCCCCTTTTGCAACAAAGTCAATGGGGAAGCCAGATTCACTTAACAGCCGGGTTACTCACTTAACAACTGCTAAGATTCACTTTTCAACTGTGTCAAGGAAGGGCATAAAATGGGGCAAAATCACTTCTCTGTTTCGCTTAGCAACAGAAATGTTGGGTTCAACTGTTGTCCTAATTTGAGGACTGCTAGAAGAGGCCGCCTCTCGGTCTCTCGCCTGGGCCCTTAGCCACTGCACCACACGGCATCTCTGGGTGCCCACAGGGCCAGTTCCCAGGCGTGCAATGATGTGAACTGTGATCCACGAGGGTCTTTCTCCACTTGTTGATAAAAGTCTCTGTGGAGGCAAAAGGCGCCCCGTTTGCTGCCAAAGACTAACACAACTCCATGTCCAACCACTTGTTTATTTAATCAATCAATCAATCAATCAACTGATCAGTCAATTGAACAATTGTAGTCACTATACTCCCAAGGTATCCTGATTACAAATCGGGGCTTACAAAAATCATGAAAAAAAGAAGCAAAGAATATACATAGCAAAATTCAAAACCAGGGTGACTAGAAAAGAACAAGATTTTACAAGTCGGTACGGGGCATTTTTCAAGACTAGGAAATGCCTCCTGCACGGGCCATTAGGATAGGCCGCTATTTATTTAACCCCCTGTGTTGCTGTGAAATTTCCATCAATGCAGAACGTGCCTCTTTTTCAGGCCTTCTGCTCAAGATCAGTGAAGGTAACGATACGCTTTGTCCTCCAACACCCGTTCACTGTGATCCACTGGGTCCGACTGGTTACATTACGCTACTCACGGTCCATTTTGGTGGCCCAAGGCTTCTATCGCATGTGAACGCTCTGGGATAGAGCCGGAATAAAGGTGAATTTTCAAAGGGGCGAAAAACGTGGGATTGCCACATCTGTAAATGTTTTGCAGTCTTTCAAATGGGAACATAAGATTTATTTCATTTTGGAGATCCATATATATCATTACCTATCGCGCCAAATTCTTGCTTTTCAGTCATCAGAATTTTTTGATGGTGGTATTAGTACCGTAGTCTGTAAAATGGAAAACACTGGGATTGTCAGCACTACAAGATTCTTGACTGGTTGGGTTTTTGTCCTGAAAAAACTGCTTTAAAGTCATCAGGAGACTTTTATGGAAATAAAAGCATTAACTGGATTTGAAATGAGTGCTAACATTGGACCATCTACTAGGTAATGTGTAGGAAAATTCAGGGGCAATATTTTAACCACCTGGTGTAAAAAACACCCAGGATTCTTTTTTCTACTAAAGTTCTAAAATCTAAAAATTCTAAAATAAAAAAGCTTCTATATTTTCAGTTTTTTAAAAAAATAATAATAAAAAAACATTAAAAGTTCAGAGTCCCCAAACTGGAAAAACCTACTTGAATTTTAAACTCAACCTCGAATGCAAAGACAACGACGGGGTGGTTGTGTATCGGTCTCAGAAGGCCACAGGTCACCCACAGACCTCTTGGCTTAGGAGCCCCAAGCCTCGGCTCTTTTGGCTGGCCAGCTGGCACTGGGCAGCCTCTTCGGAGTGGGTGCTACAAGCGGCCGGAGGCTTCACACTGGGCTGTGGCGGCTGGTGGTGGCAGCCTCGGCCTCGCTCTCTTCGTCTCGGTTGCAGACGGGGATATAGCCACCTTCTCGGGGCAAGCACCAGCACCAGCCGGCTCCTGTGAGGTCCAGCGCGGCAAAATTGAAGTCGCTCCAGTCTAGCTGCTTGAAGTCCACAGCGTCCATCTGGGAATGAATCTCGTTCAGCTTCTGCCAATGCAGCCAGGACATCACCAAGGCGAAGACCTGCCAGAAGGGAGGAGAGAGATGCGCCAGGACCTCTTCGGACGGGGCCACCGTGCCCTGTGGGCTGGCTGCAAGGACTGTGACACCGAACCACTACGGGATGGTCGGGCTCCGATGCACCCACTTCACTCCCACCCAGCCCCCACCGTAGCCGGCCCACAGTGGCCTTTGCCCCCCCTCCCCGGCCCTCTGCCGGCCATTCTTCACTGCCAGTGGGCTCCCCCCAGCCCTCCTTCCCAGTGCGCCACTCCCTGAGGCCTCACCTGGGCGTTTCGTGCACACAGGACAAGCGCCCGCATCTCCTGGCAGCCACTCGGCCCAAGCCGCCCCAAGGCCTCCGCTCCCTGGAGGGGAGGGCGGCTGCAAGGCAGGGACACGGCTGTCAGGCTCTGACGCATCAACTGCATTGGTGGGACAGGAAGAGGATCTTCCTGCTTGGGAGGAAAGGGGCGGGGGAGGGGGGGGCGCTGGGATCAAGGAACACTTTGACTGTTGCTTCAAGGGGCCTTGGAGCCCCGAGTCTGAGACTCCTTTCTTTCCTTCTCTTTCTTTTCCTTCTTTCTTCCACTTCCCTTCCTCCTCCCTGCCTGCTTTTCTTTCTTCCTTTCTGATTTTTTTCATTCCTCCCTTCCTTCCCCCTTTCTCTTCCTTCTTTCTTCTCTCTTCCTCCTCTCTCCCTGCCTCTCTTCCTTTTTTTCTTCCTGCCTTTCTTTTCCTCCCTCCCTCCTTCCCTCTTTCCTTCCTTCCTTCCTTCCCGCTCTTTCTTCTCCTTCTCTCCACTCTTTCCCTCCCTGACCTGAATGGATGAATGAAAACTGACATGGCAAATACCAAATCGTCCTCGACTTACAATCACAACCGGAACCAGCGTTCCCCTTGCCAAGCAAGCTGGTCACTCAGCGAGTCACACCTGGCTTTACACCCCTTTTTGCCACGGCTGTTAGGCGAATGACTGCTGTTGTTAAGTGAATCAGGGTCCCTAGCAAATACGGCTTCCCTCCCTGGCTTTGCTGGTGGGAAGCTGCCTGGGACGCCCAGGTGGATGGCGATCGCAGACACCGTCACAAGCACTGGGCGGCTGCCAAGTACCTGGATTTCAATCACAGGACCACTGGGAAGTGGTGGCCATAAGTGGGAGGACAGTCGTAAGTGGGAGGACTGCTTGTAAGTCATATTTCTCAGCGCCGCTGTGACTTGGAGTGTTCCCTAAACAAATGGTTATAAGTCGAGGACCATCTGTGAAAGGTCTGAGCTGGAGCAGCCCCGAAAGCTTCTCCTCTTCTTGCCTGGATCACAAGCCTCAAGCAAACCCAGATTAAGAGAACATTCAGTCTGTCCTGTGAAATTTGCACGGCCAGTTTGGATGTCCTCAAGGGACCCAGCTCACTGTGCCACACAGATTCCAGCTTAATCCCAGGAACTTTTTCGAGGTCCCTTTAAAAAAGCATTGCATAAAGCCCCCCTGTTTCCCCCTTCTTTCCTGACCCTGAATAAACAGTTTTAACAATCCCAAGCTTGGAGCTGCCGCTGCCGCTGCCTTTTGAGCTCAGGCGAGGATCAGCATGAAGTGGAAAAGAGATGGATCCCCGGATTTGTGGGAGCGGTGCCTCTTTTCCAAGGGGCTTCCTGTATACACCCAGTCACAAATCTTTCCTAGTGGTGTCCCATCCAAGGTTTTCAAATCCACACTATCCAATGCATCCTATAACCCGGTTTTGTTGATCTTGGTAACTTTAAAATGTGTGGATGTCAATGCCCCCAAATTTCCAGCCGGTGGCAAGATCACTTGGATTCTCAGCCCACATAGCGAAGTCTGCCCAAACACTGAAAAGGGCCGGGAACAGGACGTGCCCTCCACCGAGCCACTCTCTCCACTGTGGGGGTGGCGGAGAGGCCCTGGGCCGTGGCTGGCTGTGCCACTGAGGGCGGGGAGGTGAAAATCCATCAGCTCTCCCAAGACTTCCATGCCTGGTGCCGGAGGGACCAGCGCAGACCCTGCAGGCCTGGGAGGCAGGCCGGAAAGCGGGATCCCCTCCAGGGGTGGGATCTGACTGGTGTAACTACTGGTTCGGTGATTTTACGTCTCCTACAGCCTGCCTGGCCCCTGGCTACAGGAACAAACAAGCGGAAGAATGCCAGCTCTGGAGCCTTTGAAAACGCCACTGATGAGAGAAAACTGTGGGGAACAACAGAAATTTGGCTTCTGCCCAGCTTGTTTCTATTCTGAATATCCCAGCCAGCGGCTCCTTGGCAGGAACTGCAACCAGACTGGAAGGCCCAGGGACCCCCCCAAGGAAGAAAGAGGGCAACTGGAGAGAAAGCAGGCGTTATCCTGGCTCACTCTGGGGCCGACACAGCCAGCTACTCTGGACGCGTTACGGATTCCTTTTTTATTAGGACAAGCGGGGGCTTGCGGGGCACTGAAAAACCTCAAGATCGGCACCCCAATGCCATTCCCCAGACTGGGACCTCTCCCAGCGGATGGGAGCTCCGATCTCGTCCGTTTGCAGGGAGGTCTCCTTAGGTGATGCTTCTTTTCTGCCGTTTTTTCATGGGCAAAAATATAAGCACCCCCAAATAACTATCAGAGAACAAAGTGGATTTTTACCTGAGGAAGGAGCAGAGAGCAAACAATGGCTAGAGTGGATTCAAAATTGTCTTTGAACCAAAAGCTCACTGCGTGGATGCAGCCGCGGACATGGATCGTGTTCACTAGCTCCAGTCGCTACAGAAAGAATAAATCTCCGATTAATGACATGATTGTGTCTCATCCCGTCACAAGTCATGGGCATTTAGAACTCCAGTCACACATTTTGCTATGACATTTGATCGATGGAAGTTTTAAAGAATCACTGAGATCCAGCAGGTAGCCCTCAATTTGCCCTATATGCTGGTTTCCACAACACTAACCAAGTCCGTATGGTGGCCAGGCAAATCTTGATCAGAGGATGTGACTAAGTATGTTGGGCAAACCGAGCTGTTTGGCAGGGCGAAGGGGGCCGTTCAGTAACCAGATCAGGCTGCTGTGTGAAGCCACCACAAAATCCACCACGGGTTTTTCCCAGAGGACTCCTTGGCCGGCCATTCACACAACCCTCCCAGGCATCTACTGTTCTCAGCTGTTTTGAACAGGAAGTCCCCATCTCCTCTTTGGGGTGCATGGCCAGGAGTGTGCCCTAAATTCCTGTGGTGCTGGCCAAGAGTGCGGTCAAGACCCCAGACAGGCTGGCCCTCTTGTCTGCCGTCCTGCGCCTAATGATGGTCATCTGAAATTTGCAGATCCTCCCAAATGGGTCTAATCCTGTTTGCTCTTTTCAACTTAGCAGAATGATGGAAAGAAATAAAAAAAAAAAAGGGGTGGTGGTCCAGGGTAGCCGATTGCCAGGATAACGCTAAAAAAGCTGAACAGAAGAGGGTCAAATTCAGCATGCTGGCTGAGGAACTCTGGGACCCAAAGTACACACATCTTAAATTTGCCAAGGTTGAAAAAATTCAGCTCTAAGGTCTGCCGGGGGTGGGGGGGGGGGGGGGGGGGGGGGGGCAGCCAGGCAGCAGCTCAGAATCTTGGCCTGCTCCGGTTTAAGCCCCCCCCCCTCAAGCAGGCTGCATCCCCATCGCCTCCGCTTACCGGCCACCTCACTGAGTGGCCATTTGATGTTTCGGTGGGGTTGAAGGAATAACTGCTCCTTACACTGACAGTCACGTGGTTGCCATTGGTACCCTGGCCAACGGGCTTGGGACAAGCAGAGTCCCTCAGAGGGAAGCTGGCAGCGAAACCAGACGCTGTGGCCAGGAGGTGCCCGCGGTGGTGCCGGCTAATGGGAGTTGCTGGCCCCAACTGGGGTCGCTAAGGGAGGCCTACTGGTATTAGCCGCCCGCAGCCTCCCAAGGCACGCCTGCGCACCGTCACGCACCCTCTGTAGGCGCCCCCCTTGCGAGGAAGGGAGCAGAACCCGCCAGGATGAAGTTGCTTGTTACCCGGAAGGGAACCCCAGGTGCCTCCAGCGGAAAGTGGCCGGAAAGCATCCCAGAGCCCTTCCGCGTTTCTGGGAGTGGAAAAGGCGCAAAGGTTTGTAGCGAGGCTAGTTCAGGTGAGGAGTTTTTCAACGGACGGTCTCTTCAAAGCCAGTGAAAAGGCTTCTCCTCTTCTGACTTCCCTTGTGAGGTTGATTGGAAACCAGGTCAGAAAGACCAACCTGAGATTTAGCAAGAAGTTTATTTCTTTCTGTGAAAATGCGCTTTGCCTGTTCACGGGCTGCTCACACCCTGTATTTGAAGTACTGCACTTAATAAAAGAGGGGTGAGATTTTAGTTTTGCATTGGACTATTAACTCTTCAACTGAATTATTTATGAATGATCTGGGGCGGGATGGGATATTAAATGAAAAATTAAGCAGATTTATTTATTTATTTATTTGAATGTTGTATCCCTCTTTTTTTAATTTTACAAGTAACTCAAGGCAGCGAGCATGCAACACTCTTTCCTCCTGCTATCCCGCCCACAACCACCACCACCAGCACCCTGTGGGGTGGATCGGGCTGAGAGAGAGGAGGACTGGCCTAATGTCACCCGACCAGCATTCCTGCCTAAAGTGGCAGCAGAACTCATCGCCTCCTGGTTTCTGGGCCAGCCCTTTCTAAGCAAGGCCAAGGACCATGGGACGGGGTCTTCCTTGGCAGGGGGAGCCAGACCCGTCCTGCAGTGGTGGGCTGCTCAGAAGAGCTGGCCCTGGGCTGAGCCCTGCCCAAGGGCGGCCACCTCTGCGCCCACCCCTCAGCCTTTGGGCTTCCCAGCCACAGCAGCTGCTGCCAGAAAACCTCAGGCGCCACCCCAAGCCAGGGCAGTTCTCCTCCACAGGGAGTTCAGCAGCAACGCCCCCACCCCCAAAACACCTGTTTACTTGTTTGTTTATCTACACCACCCTTCCCAGCCCCTCCCCTCCCCTCCTGCCCGCTGCTGCCTGGCATTCAACTCAGCCCGGTGGGTTTCAGGTTGCTACCTCTTGGTTGAGTGTCCGGTATCCACACAGGGTGTTGATGACTTCTCCTGGCGCCTGTGAAGACAACAAGAAGAGTGGCCAATAGCAGCACCTGGAAGGACGTTCAGGGGGCTACGTTTAAGGCAGCAGCTGGAACAGCAGAAAAAGGAAATGCAGCCCCTATACAACTCACTCCAACAAAATGGATATATCCACCCCACTTTATCAAAAAGTCCCTGACCGTTGGGTTAATACAGCACAACCAACACAAACCCTAAAAAGAATTACCCTGCCATACATCGAGAGTATCTCAGAAACCACCAACAGACTCCTACAACTGCCTGGGATCGGCATAACACACAAGCCAACTGAAGCCCTTCAAAACACCCTAAGCAGACCAAAACACCCAGCAACCCCAGAAGAAAAAACCACAACATTTTAGAAGTTCACAGACACAGCTTCTCCCCTCATCTCTGTAGCCCCCTTTCAGGGGAACTATCTGGCCACCCCTATTTCATCTCTTCGCTAAGCTCTTAACTGCTCATCCTACCGTTTAGCCTCCAGCCTTCTAATCACCTTTCTTGCCCTTCTCTGCACCCTTTCTAGCGTTTCAGAATCCTTTTTTGTGTGTCACAGCGTCCAGAACCGGGCTCAGTTTTCCAAGTGTGTCCTCCCGGGTGCAGTGCACCGCAGCACCATCCTTTCCCCTGATCTCCATGCTCCTCCTCTCTTGATGCAGCCTAGGAGACTGCTGTGGCTTTTTTGCCAGCTGCAGCACAAATAAGCGCTTTCCTTTACAGGATTCCAACGCCGGCCTTCTCTAGCCTGGGCACCTTACAGATCTACGTCCTTCAACTGTCCTTTAAACTGGATGGTGCCCTCGGCGTGGGAGCCTGCAGTAACCGGGGAGACTGCTTGTCACACAACCGCCTGCTATTTGACCCGGAGGAGACTGTGGCCCTGCCATGAAGCAGTCCAGAGGGATCGCAGAGCAAGGCGCACCTGGAAGACCCCCGTGTGAGCCTCTTCCCCCTCACCTTCCTGACGCAGCAGGTGTAGGGCACTCCACAGGCCAGAGGGCCACTGCCATTGCACGCGTGGTATGGATTCACGTGCCAGTCACTGAATTCATCGCCTCCACAGCAGGAAAACTACAAGACAAAGCGAAGAGCTTAATGTACGGCTTCCCTTTTCCACCCATAAAAGTAAAACGGTTAGGCAGTCCCAGGAAGTGGCAGAACAGAGGCAACCAGAGGCCTTCAAAGAGACCGGCCTGCTCTGAGCCTGCGAGGCGATTGACCTGGACAGATCTAGGGCCGCTTTGTAAAGCAGAAGGGAAACCATTGCAGCCATGGCTGCTTTGTTGCCCAGGGAAAGAGGGAAGCACGGCCATCTCTGCTTAGCAGGCAGCGCTTCCTTCCTTCTCTTCCTCGAGTCTCTGGGCTGCTCTCCAAGGTCCTTCGAGTGGACCAGGATCTTCCAACGGCCGAAGCTTTCAGGTTTTCCTGCTGAAATATCAAGCGACAGGAAGGGGAGGCCACGTTCAACAGGATCATCAGGAGACGGGGATGAGTGTGCTTTGGGCAGACGCTCGTCTGAGGCCAGAGCAGCCGAGCGGAGATGTTAGCAAGACCACCCAAAAGTGGTCACCTCCCTCTGGGAGCGGGGGGGGGGGGGGGGGGGCATTTCCAAGTGGCAGTATTCACCTGAGCAGCTGCAGCCATTCTTATTGAACCCCTGGCAAAAGGTGAGCCTTTGCCAATCCTGTTCCAATCCAAACTCCCCCACTGTCAAATAGGGAGCAACCACAGTTCCCTTCAAAAAAGCCACGAGGGAGATAAAAACCCAGAGGACGACAAAAGCCCTCAGGACTAAGAAAGGCCACCTCCACATTCTACCCCTCAGGGTCTCTGCAGAGGAGTTGGGTTCTTAAGTTTTCTCACCCACTTATTAGGTTGGGAAAGGGAGGAATTCGCATTCGGCAAGGAAAGAAGGCAATTTGGGATTGCGGGGGGGGGGGGGGGGGGGGGGGAGGAGACACACGAAACCCTCTCCAGTGAAACTGAGCTGGAGCCGCTAGCTAAAAACCAAGGGCTACAAATCAGACCTCAACCACCTCTGGCCAGTTGCCAGCAGTCACTAAGAAGTCCGATGTGCTACAAGGGCTCTTGGGCCAGAGAAGCCGGTCACATGAAAAAAATCTAAAAATTGAGAACAAAATGAAACTAAAATAAATAATAAAAGGCATAAACTTTGCGAAGTACAGCTCCCTTCATTAGATGCATCACGCATCACAACAGTATATGCCTTTCAACTGACTAAAAAGGGGCTACGAGGGACCTCCTGATTTCTGTCTATTATAGACAAACCTGGTCCTCCTGCCGTGTCTGCTGTGAGGAGCACCAGTCTCTGAAGAGCCCTGGGGAGTCCTGGGGACATTCCTCAGTTCAGATGTTCTTCCCCAAGAATTCCGCTGCTTGCAAAGAGGCCACCCAGAGGCCCAAAAGAATGAGAGAATCCAGCAAAGGAGAATATTTTTAGCTTAGAGTTGAGATGAGGGATTCTTGACGTTCTCTGAGCTTGGTTGACTTCCAGCAGATGTTTCATTGCCCAAACTAGGTAACATTATCAGTGTCAGAATGGGAGAATTTATCCCAGATTACACATGTGTTATTTAGCAGAAAAAGGCATTCTGGATCGGTCTAGCCATCTAACCTTTCTCCAGTAATACTTTTGTTATAGCAAAATGACAGTTGACCCCAAAATATAGTGTTACCTTTTGCTGAACATAGTCCAAAATATTTTTGAAATCCAAGTCGTCATAATAGTGTCTTATTCCATCCTGAATGCTGGAATGGAACACTGCATTCATCTGCAAGAGAAAGGGTCCCACGGATGAGGGGGGTTTCCTCAAACCCCTGAAGAGATCACCCAGGTTGGGAGTCATCTGAGAGGCCAGCAGCTTTCACCTTTGTGGCAGCCACAAGGGACAAAACAGCCATGTGCTAAAGAAGTAGAAGCCCTATTTACTTTAGACGGAAGATGTTCTGACACAGTCCTGGTTCATTTCTGGTGAAATTCTAGCATCCCAACATCACAGAATCCCAGGGCTGGAAGCACCAAAGATTGTCAGTGATTCTTGTGAGGGTCAGTGTATCTGCTTGGTTGGCCTGAACCCACTGGGAGAATCAGGCCCTTCCTGCCCCAGAGCAGCTTTGAGTCCGTGTGCTGGGGAAGCGAGCCTAGCAGGAAGCAACGAAGACCCCTGTAGCCCCCCTGGAGCTTCCCCCTCCATCCAGGGCTGGGGCCAGGCTCAGAACAGGGCTCCTTCTCTCCTGAGCACAGGCCGTCCAAGACCTCTGGCCCAGAGGCCTCCGCTTCAGGCACCCCCAGGGCACCCATGAACCAAAGAAGGAGCCGAAACACCAGGTCCTCCTGACTCTCCTTGGCACTCTTGGCCCTTCCATCAATGTCACCGGTTCTTCCCACCACGGCAAGACGACCAAGAGCAGGTCGATGGAGCACAGGGCCGAGACACGGCTGGGTGTATCTGGGCCTGGGGGTGTGGGCTCCGTACGCCAATGTGGAGAGAAGGCAGCGGAGGCCCCTCCTGGAGCAGCAGCAGCAGCAGCAGCCCTGCAGCGCCCCGGCCCAGACCAGCCTCCCCCCGGGGGGCCGCGAGGCAGCCGGATTAGGGCTCTGCTCCTGCTCCTGCTCCTGCCAAGAAAGGGGAGGGACTTCTGCAGTCTGTGTCCGTGTGTGTGTGTGTGTGTCCGTGTGTGTGTACCTTAAGAGAGCGTGTGGGAATGCAAGAAAAAAAGAAGGTGGCAGGGAGAAAAGAGGAAAACGGGAAACCGCCAAACAAAACCAGCTTGTGGGTTGCAGGGGATCATTGGCAGTACGGAAGAAAGCCGCCCCCATTCAGACGGGGATGAGGAGCGGGGCAGAACCTGCCCACCTCGCCGTCCCCCAAAGTGGCAGAACTGGATGGCAGCTGGTGAAGGTCTCACCCTCTCCGTCCGGCTGCAAAGCCAGCCCAGATTTGCATGGTCAAAGGAAGGCTCTTGGGCTGGGTAATTTCCCCATAGGCCACAGCTGGAGGTCAGCCAAGGACAGGGAGGGGCAAGTCAAACCTGACTGCCAGAAAAAAGAAAAGTTGATCAAAACTCAAGAAATCACAGACAAGGAATCTCTAAGACAATGCAGGACAGCTACAGAAATCCCTGGAACCTGCTAGGCACCCTGAAAGAGTTACAGCTCCCATCAGAGGACAATATTTGGAGGAAGGAAGGAAGGAAGCCTTTAAACTAAACAATGGAGACAAAGAGTTAATTAATACAGAACATTTCTGTCCCCAGCAATCTAAAATTAATGGGGTTATCAGTGCATGTAACATAGATATTTGTGCAGGTAAGAATATCAACCTTGCTGTCAAGCAAAATCAAGCTCTTAATAGTGAGTGCCATACCACATGCACTAATCAAACAAGTAGCAAGAAAGTAGGGGCAGTCAGGCACAACACAGGTTATGCAAAAAGTAAACGCAGGGTCAAGACTCAAATGTCTGTACACCAATGCACAGAGTATGAGGAATAAACAGGTTGAGATAGAAATACAAGTAAATGAGGGCAGATATGATATGGTTGCCATTACAAAAACTTGGTGGGATGAAACCCACAAATTGAAGCTACAGCTACAGGGATTTAAATTATTTAAATTTAATTTAGACCAAATAAAAGAGGAGGTGGAGTTGCCCTCTATATAAGAAATAAATATATCTCTATAGAAATAGAACACAACAATGATGAAAACTGTCTTGAATGCATTTGGGTCAATGCATAAAAGTGGGAAAAATGACATTGCCATAGATGTACAGTATACTATAGGCTACCCAACCAAACAGAGGAAACAGATGAACTTTTTGCTAGTCAGTTAACTAAGGTATGTAGGAAGCACATCACAATAGTAATGGGGGACTTTAAATACCCTGACAAACTCTGCACCAAGTGGAAGATCAAAGAGGTTCCTGATAAACTAAGCAGACAACTTTGTCTCCCCAAAAGTAGAGAAAGCAACTAGGGGATCCGCCCTATTGGACTTAATCCTCACCAACAGAGATGAAATGATGGAAGGTGTTGAAGCTACAGAAACCTTGGGGGGAGGGGAGTGATCATGCAATATTGGAATTCAACATTACGCATGCTCAAGCAATAGAACAAAGTCAAACTAGAGTTTTGGACTTTAAAAGAGCTAATTTCAATAAACTTAGAGCTTGGGAAGGATTCCACGGATGAGAATCCTCGAGGCGAAAACAACCCAAGAAGCTTGGGAAACTTTGAAAAGTGATATAAAAGCCCAGTCTAGCATAATAGCAACGAAGAAGAAAAACAACAGGTCTCAAAAGAAACAGTGTGGCTGCATAAAGAACTCTCTGCTAAATTGAAAGACAAAAAGGACAGGTATAAAAAGTGGAAAGAGGGGCACATAACTAAGGCAGAGAATATCAGCAAATAGCCTGAGCCTGCGAAGATAAAGTGAGGAAAGCTAAGGCTCAAAATGAACTAAGGCTCTCAACAAAAGTCAAAAATAACACACACACACAAAAAGAGAGCCTCTTTCAACATGTAAAAAACAAGAAAACAGTCAAGGAAACAGATTGGTCCATGAGTGGGAGAAAGTGGCAAGAAGGTGATAAAGAAAAAGCGGGACTGTTTAACTCGTTTTTTGCATCCGTCTTTACACAAAGTCCAATCTAGCTTTGAAATATATGGTTCACTGGTTCAGATATCACATCTGCCAGCTCCTCCAGAATTCTGGGATGTAATCCATCTGGTGCTGGCAATTTGAATGCACCTAGAGCGTAGAAATATTCTCTTATCATTTTTCTGCCTATTTTGACTTGCGTTCTAATCTGTCTTTTATGGTTCTGCTACCATTGAACTATTTTTTTTCCTTTTCTGTAAGGACAGGTGCAAAGAGTGAATGACTTCTCTCCCTCCCCGCTTTCCAATTCACAACTTCCAATGGGAAAAGTGATCCAGTCATAGGAGTGACGGAAACGGGTCGCTTACCTGCTTCTCGAAGATGATTTCAACCAACAATAGCAGCAGCTCAGTGATGAAGATGGCCGAAAGGACCCAGAAGAACTAGGCAGGAGAGACAGAAAGGGGGCAGGGAGCCAGGCGTCATTAAAACAAGAACATGCTCGATTTTTAGCACTGCTGAGGCATTAGGACAACGTTGGCCACCTTCCTAAAATACAAACAAGATACAGAAAGAACTTTTTTCCTCATCCAATGTGGAACAAAGCCGAATTCCTTTAGGATAATTTCAGCTTGCTGAAGAGCATCGGCTGCTCGATTCAGAGGCTTATCTTCCTTTTCCCCTTTGACAAGCGGACTCCATAAACTGCCAGACAAGCAGACTTGAGAGGGAAGAGCAGGTATGAAACAGAAATCACAACAAACAGGTGCTTTAGTGTCGGGGGTGAAAGACCAGGTCCATACAGGGAGGAGATTCAAAGAAACCGGTTTGCTGCTAAAGCCCATGCGCAGGAAATCCTCTCCGCCAATGGGGGGTACAGTGAGATAAGGGTCAAGGGCACTCAGAGGGGTTGAACTGGCTTTGTTTGTGGCTTCATCCCCCCATCAGGCTCTCTCTCATTTCTTCTCCTACATTTAGGCTTCTAGATTACTACAGTGAACCACTTTTAATAACTTACTATATTTAATTATATATAAACTGCTGCAATATTACATACTTCATATTTTCCTGAGTGGAATGTGATTGCAATGTATTTACAATGTTTTACTTATTTACAATACTTATTAATGATATTTGAGAGGCTGCCCCAAAGAAGAAGGGATCGACTTATTTTCCAAACACCTGAAGGCAGGACAAGAAGCAACGGGTGGAAGCTCATCAAGAAGAGAAGCAACCTAGAAATAAGGAGGAATTTCCTGACAGCGAGAACAATTAATAAGTGGGACGGGTTTGCACTATGAACTCGGCCACAGAGGTAGGAACTTCTGCATGACTTTAGCTACTTATTAAAATAAATTTGCATTTTGTTAAGTCTTTCACTTTTTGTACATGACTGTTTCAGGATTGTATTCCAAATGTTCTATTTAACTTGTGATCGAACAGTTACAGTTTTTGCTTTTTCGTCTTTCTTATTCACACGAGCAACATGAGATGTGGCTTCTTTTTGCCTTTTAATGTTTCCACAAAATGCATCTTTCCTCTTCCAATGTTCTCAGGATTATTTCACAGCCTTCCTTGGACTGCACCTTTGCTGCCATAAAGCAATGCGCTCACTCTGTGAGGCCTGAGCTGAACTGGGGGCAAGTTCCTTCCGCAGAGAGATTTGGCAGGCTGCTTAACAGACTTCACCGCATCCCCAAAAGGCCTAAGGTGAGTTTTCAGACTTCTAGTTTTCCTTTAAAATACCCAGCCAGAAATTGTCCCACATTCTTTAATGCCACATGGTTTGGGGAAGGATTTTTCTTCTCCGCTTTGCTTTCTTTCTTATCACAAATAACTTCAGGTAATTTCCTTGTTTTTTTTTATAATATTTATTTCCTCAAAACATCTGTTGAAACTGATGAATTTTCAAAAAATGTTTTAACTCTGTTCTATCCTTCTCCCTATTATTTTTCAAATTCTCTGTTTTTCTGCTTTTTTGTTTTATTTCTGCAATCTACGATCCATTTTTTTTTTTTTGGTTTCTTTTACTTATCTAGAGAAACTTCAAAGTTTTCCTTAAAGATATTTCACTGCACACTTCATTACCATCTTGCACTCATTTTTATTTCTGAGTTGTTTGGGGGCAGATCTGGACTGCCATGAAGAGAAAAACAGAGAAGGGGAGACAGGAGGGGAGACAGGAGAGAAAGCTACACCAAAGGAAAGGAAAAAAACGTACTTGGCAGTTGGCCTCCCGTGCTTTCAGGCCGCAGCCTCACCAGGAGAGTCAAGCCAAAGCAACGGTGGTGGCCTTCCAGCCTCAAACGCCTGGCACCTCCATTGACTCCTTGGATACCAACAACACTTCTATGAAGCCGAAGGAAAGCACCCACCCCAGGAGAGAGAGAGAGAGTAAAAGGAAAGTACTTTCTTTACATAAAGCTATGAATGCGGGCACAGCCAGGTCATCCTACCTGGCTGCCTTCCTCTGGCCCTAACCTTTGCTTCATCCCAGCAGAAGCCTAGTGTTACCCATTATTGAGATAAAGCTAAAAAGCTGTAAAGGAATTCTTGTGCAGGGCACGTTGCACTTCTAACTTGCTTTCCAAGAGCCCCCACAAGCTGCACTCCCTGTAAATCTGTTTTTGCAATTGGGGGTCAGCTATGCAACCCCTCCCCACCCTTTCCCTTCCCGAAATACCTCCACATCTTCCAAGGTAGAAGCCTGGGTTCCCTTGTGCTTAAGTCGTAACTTGAAGTGAGTGCAAACAAGGGTTATAAAAAAATCTGGGTTGACATGTTACCCACCTTTTGGGTGGGTTGCTGTTAAGGAACTGGCTTCAGATATGCCAGCCACGCTCAGCTTCACACACACACACACACACACACACACACACACACACACCACCTGTGGACAATCTCCTTGGACCTGTTATGGACCAAGTCCTTTGCTGGATGGACTTAGCACAAATACCTGGCAGTGACATCACCTTGTCGGCAAGGAAATAAAGATGAATCAAACTCAAAGAAGACAAGATAGCTAATGAAAAGTTTCAATTACTCATTTGTCAGGTTCTCAGCGTGACAGGAACAACGGAACAAACTCCTCGTCCTAATTCAATTCCTAATTCCAAAACCTTGTTCCAAATCCAAGGCTAAAGTTATCCATTTCACAACAGCCCAGAGCCAATCCAGCACGCTGCCTTTAGTTTCACTGAACTTGTACAGGCTTATCACAGTGACAATGAACTGACCAAGTGCTCCCAGATCAATTTGTTTTTAAATGTTTATGGCATGCAAATGTTTTAAGCTCTGTGTTGGCAGAGATGATGGTATTGCTAGTGTAAAGTTTTCAGAGGGAAGATGCCTATCTTTGTCGCTTTTATAGTCTCCCTGAAGAAAAGCCAACAATAGGTCAAGCACAGCCTCCTAATTCTTTGCTGCTCTTTGGAAGCCCATCTCTTCTTATGCCAACGTTTTGATTCGTCCTCCAATTACAAGTGGCCTCAAAAATTGTGAAAGTGGGACCTCCTGTGAACAACGGCTGCCCTGCCCAGAGAGGCTCCTCTCTCTGGATCATTGGTTTTTCCTACCTACCAACAGAAAAAGGAACAGGCATTTCTTTCATTTCTATGACTCTCCTGGGTTAGGGAGAATCCTAGGATCCCCCCCACAAGATCACACACACACACACACACACACACACACACACACACAACCACGGTCTGCAGGAAGCCCCAGGAACTGGGCTTTGGAGCCGGGCAGCGCTGAAATCACTTCGCTGTTGAAAAAACAGCCATTTTGGAATGTACTTGTCAAAAGGACAGTAACATTTCCTAATTAATTTATGAAACCATTATTAGCTAAAAGAAGCCCTCTTTAGTCACAGCCTCTTATCCCTTTTTGAGTCTTCTTTGTTGTTAAACAACAAGAAAGAGGGCTGTTGGCGGAAGGTACTATAAGAAAATGTAGAGTATCTTTTCTTCTTAATTCTGATGGAGAAGCGTAAGGATGGAATGATGTAGTTTTATTTTACTATTTTTAAATAATATGTACCTTTGGATTGCTTGGATATGGGTGGCTGAAATTCTCTGATTTTTATGAACTTTGATTGACCAGAAATAAATAAACAAACAAATATTCTTTGACCGCCAGAGAGAGCTAGGATAGCCAAACGTGAGCTTATTTTTAGGGAAGTTTTTAAAATTCTTTACAGAAAATTACTTCTTTTATAGACTGATTAGGTTCTAAAGATATAAATAATATAGATAGTATAAAAAAAGAGCAAGAGATGCAACTACATGTAGAAAATTATCAAACCACTAAGGCAATTTTACAAATATCTGACAATGCAAAAGACTTAACTGCAATTTTGGAATATAACCAGACACTGATTTTTGTTAGGATGATGATTTAAATACAACCATTTCAGAGCAATGGAAACAAGAATTTCAATGAAATCCACAACTTTCAAGAGGACAAGTTTGGGACATTTTTTTTCATGGATACTAACAAAGTTGAGAATTCTTTGAGAAAAAGAGATTCCATAGAAGTTTCAGAGAAGAGGATTTTTATTCTATGTGGAAGGGCTCCAAGCAGATCTACAACTTCCAACAGAAGAATTCTGGGAATTTTCCTTCATGGATATTAAGAAGGTTGAGAATTCCTTGAGGAAAATAAACTTGATAGATATTACAGAAAAAAAGATTTTATTCTAAAACATGACTTAAATTTAATGAGTTAATTGGAAGTACGGTGGCACAGATCTTCCCAAGCTCCGCCCAGGAGTCTGCATAGCGGCGATGTTGCTTCTCCCAATCGTTCCTCAAGTGTTCTTCCATGGGTTCGGTAAGCTTCTTACTCTTTCTGAGGTCGTAGGCTTTCAGAGGTATCACCACTTCCGTAGAGATTTGGACATCTGAAACTGGGGTTTGGAAACCAGGCTCTATTTTTTATTTTAGCAAGGGTGGGTGGAGGGTTCGAGTCCTCTAGTAGTTCAGGGACATCCGTCATGGTTGAAGCAGTTGCCATGTTTCAAATTGGTAAAAGGTGACTTTCCATGTAATTCCCTTTTTCTGTACTAGGGTGCGCTGCAAGCAGGTAGCAGAAAGTAGAATTGCTGCTGGATTTAATACTTGAGCACGTGGGTGGCGCTGCAGAGCCTGGGTGATGCTAGCACAGCACACAGTATGGCAGTTTCTAGGGTGCAATGTGTGCTTTCTACACAAGGGGGCACTAGAGGTTGCGTAGCAAAGTCAGAAGACTTGGAAGCTAAACGCAGAAATATGCCTGTTAGTGTCGCTTGCTCCACAAGGTGGCAGTAGAGGTTGCATAGCGAACTCAGAAGACTGGATGGCTAAACGCAGAAATATGCATGGAAGACGCTGTTGCAGCACCCATGTTAGGTTGCAGTTAATACTGGAACCTTGAATTAAATTGATTAAATTGTCCACAATAATTGCAAAAAGGGATT